TGTGCCCCTGCGTCCTTGTGCCCTTCTCGTTCATCCAATCTACTTAACACATTCACTGTCACCTTCACCTTTTGGTGACAACTCTCGTGCGCGTCCATATGAGCAATCGGGTCGCCCAACAAAGCCACACAAATCAGAACAATATTCGACACCACCCGTTTCGAGGAAAGACACGAATGTGGTCAAGCACTTCAACGTGGCTCATTTTCATGGATGTATTAAAAATCTGTCGCTTGCACAGACACCCCTTCCGTATCACCATACCTTACTCCTCAACCCGATTGATGTTTTTGACAGTCATCGCAAAATCGAATGGCACCGACATGGAAGGAGGCATTTGTGACAAGCTGCTTTTGTCCACCGAATTGCGTGGAGGTCATTTTGTGTAGTTGTTAGTACCGAATCAATGCAATGCAGATCCATGGTAAATTGGAGAGAGTGAAGGCACTTGTAGCAATAGATTGTTAGAAGAAGAGGACATGAGATTTCTTACTTTGCTGAATATTTGATGTGTGGAGGCATCTCATCACTGTGGTGTAAGGCAGCGAATTACACGATGTTTGGCTGGAAAGCAGGCCAAGGAGGCGGATCAGTCAAAAGGCAGCCGAACTAAACTGGAGGCCAGAGGATCAAGCATCCGGTGTTAGACAGTTCCTTTGGTAAAATAACCACCATCAATCAGTTTTTTTGGCTGATGAAGACGATGGAAGGAGTATTAAAGGCAAGAAACGGTCGAGTGGTGATATCTGCGTGAAGTGGATGCTGGTGAATGTTCAGTGCACCCCATCAGGTTGCCATTTCCGCACGTTGTGTAAGACTTGAATTTTTATTGCCTCGTTCTGTGGGGCGACACCGCGATACAATGCATCGCACCATCAACTAATTTTAAATCCCAAATTACAAAATGCAAATTTCACGGACACAGTTTGGCATTAGCACGAACGTGGAAGCAAATTTCATTCGGCACATCACCATCAGTGGGGAGATTCGGAGACTTCCGGGCACACTGCTGGACTAACATTGATTCGCGCTTTTGCTGGCGTCACACATACCCACACACCCTCATGCGCACCACGCATGACCCAGTGTGGGAAGGATCTCCAAAACCTCCTCCCGTTTCAGCGCATTAGGCTCACATTCGTCCCACTGCAAGAACAGTCAACATGAAATCCCACTCCATTTACATCTTCTTCTTTGATGCTACGCCAGTACGCGGTGCCACCTCACACCTTCCGCACAATCGGTGTGGTGTGGCAGACGCATCTCCATGTGCTCTTAGCAAATTCTCTTAGGCATGAAATCACGACAGTACGAACTGAGATGTGGACACCACATGTTCGCATGTAGAGTGGTAAGCAATGCACTCCACAGTGGTGAGTGGATAAAAGACGCCTTTGATGGGAACGGAGTGGAGGAATCCTTCCTCACATGCAAAATGAATCATGCCCACTCGTTTGAAGCATGCGATTGAAACGGAGTGGACACAAATGCATCCACTTGCAGACAAAGAGACAGTCGGACAGACAGGGCTCCACTGACTTCACTTCACCAACCACTCTCCACTGAGACGCCTCTAGTTGGGACATGGCGAGTGCTCACTCAGACAGCATCCCTCCTTCACCAGTGTGCACTTTTCATCGTCCTGGTGCGTGAGATGTGAGGCAGTGCGCGCCCTTCAACAGTCGTCGCCTTGTGCCGCGACCAACCATCTGCATTCTGGTTGGACTAAGCGAAGCTCGTGGAAAGAAGAAATGTTGTTTCAGTGAAGTTGGCGATGTTGGAAGTGGATGTGCCCTTTCCACGAATCTCTGTGCACTGTGAGTGCCACTTGTGTAGTGGCGAGACAGTTATGGCAGTAGACAATACATCCTGCTTTGGCATGAACTTGGACATGGAAGTGGTTGGGATGAGGCAGTCACTTGACCCATTGACCTACTTGCTGTCCAATGAAGTTGGTGAATGCTGCAGTGGTCATGCTGCAAGCATCATCAATGTTCAGGCGTTCGCACAGCTGTCAAGCGGTGACAGTGACGGCAACAGTGACTTGTGTTTGAGTTGGGTGAGTGGTCTGCTGTGGCAGCGTAAGTGGGTAAGTAGGCAGACTGTCACTCTCTCACAAGCACGCAATGAAGCAACGAAAGTGGGCGTGACACTGAAGTGAGACTAGCCTTCTTTGTGATGCAATGTGTGGACATTTGAGTTGTTCGCCAGGACGTGCTTCGCCTTCATCTGCAATTTGTGCCTCGGATTTGCATTATGTGAAACCTACCACCTGATGTACCCCCATGTCACTTTCGATTGAGGCACTGAGTAAAAGGGTGTCAAATGGAAGCAGAAGTAAGTGCATTCATCCCTCGTGTCACCGACATGCGGCGAAGACATGCGCGACCAGAGCGACTGATGCAACAAGTGTTGGGAGGCAGGACAGAGAAAAGTTCACTGGTAGTGTGGCAAGACGACGGAAGTGGCCTCGATGAATGTGATGATGGACGAGTATGCGACTGTGTTTACAAAAGGGCAATAAAATATGGCGTTCTTTAATGAACTTGCCTCTTTCCTGTGAGACAGGTTTAATTGCCTGTTTCAAGACACAAGACAGGATGTGCACCCACAGTCATGTGTGGAATGTGGAGAGTGCGGTGAATGGGTAAGTTGGCCGTCTGAATGATGCAAGATGTGCTAAAGAGGTGTGTCCCTGGTGTGCAGCAACTGCAATTGCTTGTCTGTTAATGCAAACATCAGTGTTGGCATTGTGTGTCGCCTCATGCTGCTGTATGTCAGGCAAAGAGGTTGCATTTG